TCTACAACGGCAGGCGGCGGATCTTAAGTTAGGTAGCAGGTTCAAACTAGAAGGTGTTTCCTTTTGTTTGGACCCGGACTTGAACTTGAAGCCCGAACTTTTAATGCTAATTGATTATGATTTTTGTTTATTCTTAGAGACAAATAAATAGAAAATCATAGTCGTTTTAGGATATCCTTGAATAAAAATGAGATGAGCCTCGCCGAATAAAAAATACAAAATTGCGGGGCCCTCAATAAATATTTGTTTTAAAATACTTAGACTTAGAGACGACCCGTTTAGCGAATTTCACGGCCTTCCCCAAAAGATAATAACGCGCAAGTCACTTCCGGCGCGCTTTAAATAATTTACTCTCTTAAACTCGGGTGCACATTTATGTAACCCAAATCCAAGTCTCAACGAAGTCGAAATGTGTCGCTAATCATGTGTACATTGATTGTGACGTGGTTCGAGATGCATTTCCACGATGTTGCAAATTCCTTTTAAATAATTAATGAGACGAGCCTCGACAAACAAAAATACATAAGCTGCGGGGCCTTCTATAAGTGTATGTAAAAATCCGTAGACTCCGGAATGGGCCGTTTAGCAAAAGTTCACGGCCTTCCCCAAAATGATAATACGCTAGTCGCTTTAGGCGCGCCTTTAATAATTTACTTTCTTAAACTCGTGTGCACATTTATGCGACCCAAATCCAAATCTCAAAGGAGTCGAAATGTGTCGATAACCACGGGTACATTGATGTGACGTGGTTCGAGATACGTTTTCACAACGTTGCAATTCTTTGTTAAAATAATAATGATAATGATAAAAGCGGTTCAAGGTTAAAATTGGTACATAGGTTCAAAATGTATTAAAGTCAGATAAACAAGCCGAATATGACAGTTGAGCGACCGTGCTAGAACCACGGAACTCGAGAATGCCTAACACCTTCTCCCGGGTTAACAGAATTCCTAACTTAGATTTCTGGTTCGCGGACTGTAATACAGAGTCAATCTTTTCCTCGATTCGGGATTCAACCGGTGACTTGGGACACCATAAATCTCCTAAGTGGCGACTCTGAATTAAATAATAAATCCCGTTTCGATTGTCCCTTAATTGGAAAAACTCCCCCTACGCCCCTGCGGGCGCATGTGAAAAAGGAGGTGTGACACGTCCATCCCCGCGTTCATCTTCATCACCCACTCTTTACCGAGCGAGACGTCTTCTGGAAGGACCTCCACTTCATCATCGCTCGCCTTAGTGACAGATGGTTCATGGGATGTAAGCCCTTCATTTGACACAACCTCAGGTGGCACCTCCTGGCTCTTGTTGGTGGCATTCCTCTTTTTGCTACGGCCGCTCTTGCCAGCAACATCCTAGATGACGTTGGCTTGGGTGTTGGCAGCGTTAATTTCTCCTTCGTTCATCATTCCCTTAGTTGAAACCTTAGCTCTGATACCACGTTGTCATGTCCTTAGTTGTTAACTAAGTACACGCGCGACACTTGACAACTCGCTCACGATCTTGCACAACTTGCTCACATTCTTGCTATGTCAAGTCAGCCTTACTATACTCAAGATCGCTAAGAGAATGGAAGAAAGAACACGAGAGAGTTGTTAAAGGAAACTTTGTATTAGAGAGAACTTGAATTGTTTGTTTGGTGAATTACAAATGATTGACCCCCTTTATATACTAGTCTCCTAGGGGCTAGTGTGTAAATATTAACTATTATACAAGTCCTTGATATTTACAAGATAAGGGCTTTCTCTAGAATTCTCTACAAGCCTAGATGATTCCAAGGACTTTCTTAGCAAATCCATAAGGATCTAGGTTCTTCCTAAGAAAATGTCTATACCTCTCTAGAATCTTCTCACAAATGCTAGTCTTCTTCTTATGTAAGCTTCCACATGACATTAATATACGCCAAATGGCGCCTCTGTGGCATGATGACATGACGGGTCATCACGTTAAAAGCTCTTTTCTTCCTTAACTAACCGGTTCTTATTTTCTATTTCAACATCGTGCTCCTTAATTATCATATTATACAACTAGGGTTATTTTACCATTTTAACATTTCAAATGAAGCTTAATAAGCTTGTTTAATGATAAACCCAAATTTAATGGTCTAGCAAGGATCAATAGTGTTAGGTTGATTAAGGCTACCACGTTAGGAACGGGTTGTTATACTAACAAAGCTATGTTTGTTGGTCGTCGCTTAAATATAGTCTGAATTTATTAATTTAGGTGGATAAGCTTTTATTATTCGTAAAGAATTAAGTATTTAGTATAGAATGGTTTTCTTCTGTAAATTAAAAGTTATGATTTTTATAACATTCAAATCATATTTTAACTTTTCCTACATTCGCGCAAAGCACAAGTGAATCAAAAATTTAATTCTACGGATTCAACTTTGAAGACTGCGTCTGCCTCTAGCGCAAAGTATAGACAATTACACCAATTAATAAATACGAACATTTTTTTTGCATTTAAATTGATTGAGAAAGTGAGAAACCCCATTTAGTTGATCAACTCTTCGGGTTTAAGTGGAGTGTAAACTCATTTAACGAAATATTATCACTACCTTTTTGAACGTTTTATTCGTTATATGTAAACACCGAATAAACTTTATAAATTATGTAGTTTCCCCCAAAAATAAAAAGTTTATAGCAGTTTCATAAAAATACTCCTAAAAGAAAAATGATTAAATTTCTGCTTTGTTTGATACACAAGCAGTAACACTTTCTAAGTTTATGTGAAAAAAAGAAAGGGATAAAAAAAAGGAAAGGAGAATCGAGTCGAGTCAGCCATAGACTTTCATGAACTAATTTATATAAGCCATATTAGGTGTCCGCGAAGGTAAGCTTCAGAAAAGAAGTTTTGGACCAATTTATATGGGCCATATATCCAATGTTAACAATGGGCCTGATGTTGATTTGCTCTACAGCTGGGAAATGGTATCTGTTGTTAAAGAGAAATATGAGCTGCAATTGTAGTACTTGAGAAAGGCGACAGAGTGTAGGTAGGTGGAAAGTGTTAGCGTTAGGCATGACGTTTCTTCTTTTGTTTTGTTTTGACTAAATGGGAGAGATAAAAGGTTTCCTTTTTACCTTGTGCTTTCGATCCTCCCCGTCTAAATTTTTATGTGTATTTGAATATTTATCATTATTGGGCTTGAAGCTCTTGAGTTTAAAATTTTTATTTGGAAGATTTCTTGTTTGATTCAAAGTGGGTGCTATTAAATATTGCTTATAATACCTTCTAGAAGTTCATACTGAAATTTGATAGCGTTTGGACCTGATTTGAGGTGATTGAGATCGAAATTTTCAGTTAAAAATCAAAGAAGAACACAGCTACAGTATACCGCTACGGTATATAATATGTTGTAGGAGTATATAGCTAGTATACTATTATATTTTACAATATACTGCAACGGTATATTATAATCGAAGAAGAACATAGTTTCCTAACAGTATACTGCTACAGTATACAATATACAATAGGAGTATATAGTTATACTAACAATATACTATTATAGTATACAATATATTGTTATAGTATACTGTAATAATATGCAATATACTGTAACAATATGTTGTAATAGTATACAATGTACTATATTAGTATACTTATTACCCGTAAATTCACTTGCCTTTTCCCTTTTAATTTGCTTTAAGCTTTTATCCAGCGTGAGAGGCAAATTAAAAATGCAAAAATAAAATAAAATATTATAGTATGCCATATAATGTAACGGGATACTCTTACAATTAGATCTTTTTAGAATTTTTTGAAATTTTTATTGACAACTGATATTATTTCAGTTTAATAATTGAATTAAACTTTTTTTAACTTTTTGCGTATAATTGTATACCATGTTGGTATATCTATATACTATATTGGTATCATATGTTAGTTAATATTTTTTTAGTTGTATTAGCTACATTTAATTGATACACAATTTGATTTTTCTTTAGTAATAATATAAAAAATAATAATAAAAAATAGTGAAAATAGTAAATGAAATTAGATTATGAAGAGAAAAAGAATATATAAAAAAAGTTAAATGAAATTAGAATAGGAAAAAAGAAAAAAATACGAAAAAAATGAAAAAAAAAGAAAAAGAGAAAAGAAAAAAGAAAAGAAAAGAAGCATAGAAATAAAAAAGAATTGGAGAATAAAGAAAAACTTCCCCACGAAACCTACTATGGGTAGGAAATATAATTAGTTTATGGGTAGAAAAATAAATGGGTAGACAAGGGTAATAATTTTATTTTTGTAGGTAATTGTGTCAAAACCCTTTTAAGGAACACCAACAACAACAAACCTAGTGAAATTCCACAAGTGGGGTCTGGGAGGGTAATGTGTATGCAGACCTTACCCCTACCTTATGAAGGTAGAGATGCTATTTCCGAAAGACCCTCGGTTCAAGAACGGTAAATATGAAGCAATAGAGAAACAATAGCAATAACAAGGTAATAAGACAATGGGAGCAAATAATACGAGTAATACAGAGATCCAGGGAAACTACAAGAAAGTGCCAATCCCACTGAAAATAATGACACACCGTATTTAAAACAAGGGACTAGGAATAGAACAATGCCCGACTAGTACTACTACTACTGGTATGACAGGGCGAAACTCTAAACTGTTTATCAACACACCACCCTAATTCTCGACCTACACACCTTTCTATCGAGGGTTATTTCCTCGGTAAGTTGGAGCAAAGCCATGTCCTGCCTGATTACCTCATGCCAGTTCTTCTTAGGCATCTCTCTACCCCTCCTCTGACTCGCCATGAGAGTCTCTTCTCTTCACATGTCCGAACCATCTCAGCCTTAATTCCCGCACCTTATCTTTCACAAGAGCCACACTCACTTTGTCCCTAATATATTCATTTCAAATCTTGTCTTTTCTGGTATGCCCACACATCCATCTCAACATCCTCATTTCTGCTACTTTCATCTACTAGGCATGAGATTTCTTAACTAGCCAACATTCGGCTCCATACAACATGGCCGGTCCAACTATCGCTTTGTAAACTTGCCCTTAAGTCTAGGTGGCATATTTCTGTTAAACAAAATAACAGAAGCGAGCCTCCATTTCAACCACCCCACTCCTATACGATATGTGACATCCTCGTCAATTTTTCCGTTACTCTGTATTATGGACCCAGGATATTTGAAACTATCTCTCTTGGGGATGACTAGTGTATCAAGCTTCACGTCTACTTCTGTTTCATGCGTCCCAACACTGAACTTACACTTCAAGTATTCTATTTTTGTTCTGCTCAACTTGAAACTTTTAGACTCTAAGGTCTGTCGCCACACATCCAAGCTAGCATTAACCCCGCAGCGCGTCTCGTCAATCAATACTATATCATCTGTAAATAACATACACCATAGCACATCTCCTTGGATATGTCGCGTCAGGACATCCATCACCAGTGCAAATAAAAGTAGGCTAAGAGCTGATCCATGATGCAACCTCATCACCATTGGGAAATAATCCAAGTCTCCTAACCACAGTCCTCACGAGAGTCTTAGCTTCATCGTACATGTTCTTAATCATCCTATATATGCTACCGGAATGCCGCTGACCTCCAAACATCTATATAGAACCTCCTTATAGACTTTATCGTAGGTTTTTTCTAGCTCAATGAACAGTGTAGACAAGTGCAAAGGTAATGACTATCTCCATTACCACAATCCAGTGAGCCTAGCAGCAACTCCATGGGTAGGAACAGCCTGCAAAAGCCCAATATTTGAGGCCCATTAAGTTAGAAATGACACCAGGTAGCCACTTTAAGGAGCTGTTATTTAGGAATTAGCCTATGTATCCTAAATTTTAGTTTTCAGTTTAATTTTTTCAGAACAAAAAGATCCTAAATTGTCCTGAATTTGAGATTTTTGGTTCAAATTTTCATGACAAAATAAGTATTGGCTAATACCTAAGTAGCAGTCCTAAGATTAGCTATTTGTGTACTTCCCCCTTATAAATTAGCCTTGTTGCTCAAATAGTCAAAGTTAGATTTAATGTTTATTTTTTCTAGTAAGTATACATAAATTATACATCGATTATATACGGTTATACAAATATTATTTATGGATTATACATTTGTCGACTATTTTTAATTTAAGTGGTTGGATGGGCGGTTAGTTGGGTTAAATTGAACTAACCCCTAATTCTCCACATAATACATACCAATCCGCCAGTAACAAATTTGAGGAGAAGGCAAGCAACTGTAGAGCCAAGCAATTGGGCAATCCAGTAGAAGAAACCAGTCAAGATAGTTATATTGACACCAACAACCAATCCAAAGGTGACAGCTGGATTCAAATGGCCACCTGAGATATTGGCTGCCATTGAAACTCCAACAAACAATGCAAATGCATGAGCCACCGCAACTGCTACTAAACCAGCTGGGTCTAGAGCTGCATCTGTTGTCAACTTATCTGCAAAATCCCCCAACAAATAAAAAATACTATAGTTTGATATATAATATATTTTTTTCTACTAAATAGACACTTCGTAGTGGCGAAGTCAGAAATTTCCTGGAGGTTGTTCAAACCTGTAAAAAGTAAAAAAAATTTCCCGACAAAAAGTGTTCAATATATATTGGATACATCTAAAATCTAATATTTTACTTTTATACATAGTGTAATTTTTCGTAATATTTCAACGATTGACCACCCTTAGCTAGGTGGCTTCGCCCCTGCCCATAGCATGCAAACTTTAATAAAAAAAATCTTTTGAAACATGTATGTTTTCTCATTGGGCGTCTGAGACTCATAATCTTTTCTAAGAACATTTCTATGACGATAAGCATAAAGACATAATTAGTTCCACGACATTGATCATATAAACTTATTATATTCTGTCTTTGTAACGAAATAGAGGTTAAATTTGAGTGACTTATGACATCACAATAAGGAAAGTAAACATCAATAGATGTTACAATAATATATTACTTACTCTAAGAAATTGCAGATCCAACACTGAACTTACACTTCAAGTATTCTATTTTTGTTCTGCTCAACTTGAAACTTTTAGACTCTAAGGTCTGTCGCCACACCTCCAAGTTAGCATTAATCCCGCAGCGCATCTCGTCAATCAATACTATATCATCTGTAAATAATATACACCATAGCACCTCTCCTTGGATATGTCGCGTCAGCACATTTATCACCAGTGCAAATAAAAGTAGGCTAAGAGCTGATCCATGATGCAACCTCATCACCATTGGGAAATAATCCAAGTCTCCTAACCACAGCCCTCACGAGAGTCTTAGCTTTATCGTATATGTTCTTAATCATCCTATATATGCTACCGGAATGCTGCTGACCTCCAAACATCTATATAGAACCTCCTTATAGACTTTATCGTAGGTTTTTTCTAGCTCAATGAACACCATATGCAAGTCTATATTCCTCTCCCTATACTGCTCCATCAACCTCCTCACAAGATGGATGGCTTCTGTAGTTGACCGCCCCTGCATGAATCCGAATTGATTCTCCTAAATAGACACACTCCTTCTCACCCTCCTCTCCACTAGCCTCTACCAAATTTTCATGGGGTGACTCAACAGCTTGATACCCCTATAGTTGGTGCAGTTCTGGACATCGCCCTTATTCTTGTACAACGGAACCATCAAACTCCACCTCCATTCTTCCGTCATATTCTTCATCCTAAAAATGACATTAAACAATCCAATAAGCCACTCAAAGACTGCCCGGCTTACGTCCTTCTAAAATTCCACCGGAATCTCGTATGGTCTGGTCGCCCTACCCCTACTCATCCTCCACATAGCCTTCTCAACCTTCTCAATTTTAATACGCCTACAACACCTGAAATCTCGCTGGCTTTCTGAGTTCTCCAACTCCCCGAGCACAATGCTCATGTCCCCATCCTCGTTCAGGAGTTTATGGAAGTATGTCTACCGCATGCGCCTAATACACGACTCTTCCACCAATACCTTACCTTCCTTGTCTTTGATACACCTCACTTGGTCCAGGTCACGAGCCTTCTTCTCTGTCGCCTTGGCTAACCTGAACAGTTTTTTGTCACCGCCTCTGCCCCCAAGTTCCTCATACAAGCGCTCAAAGCCTACAGATTTAGTTGTCGTGACCGATAACTTCGCCTTTTTTTTGTCTTCTTGTAGTGTTCCATATTCGTCCTCTTCTCCTCCCCGTCGGCGCTCTCCATTAGTTTCATATACGTCTCTTTCTTGGCTTCCACTCTATGGACCTCTCCATTCCATCACCAGTCCCCTTTGTGACCTCCGGAGTGACTCATAACACCTCCCTAGCAGCTTCTCTAATGCAATTCGCTGTTGCGGTCCACATACTACTCGCATCCACATTGCTCTCCAAGCCCCCATAGCCAACAACTTCTCCCCCAACTCTTGAGTTTTGTCCTTAGTCAAGGCTCCCCACTTGATCTTGAGTTGACCATTCACTGTTCTCCTTTCCTTACTTTCTCAATCTCTGAGTCCATTACCAAGAGCCTGTGTTGTGTCGAAAGCCATTCTCGTTTAAGGAAGTTTTGCAAAAATGGAATTGCACTTGGAAGATTGATAAATTATACTTGTTCAATTGTTCACAAGTTTAACCGGATGGACTAATCTTGTCTATGTTATTCAACTGTTCATAAGTTTTGCATATCAACCCTAACTTAATATTATCTCCATTCTACTCATCTTGTCAAATTATTCACAAGTTTTTTAGATGAGTAAATCTTTCACATGTATTCAATTATTAACAAGTTTTCCCGACTAACCACCTATTTTGTCGAAAAATTCACAAAATTTATCGGATGGAAAATTGTTCAACTGTCCCATTTAAATTATAAACAATTTTAGTAATGTGATTACACTTTGTTTTCCAAAAAAAAATGAAAAACATCTGTTCAAACGCAAGTACAATGAAGTTAGTAATTTCAAAACGAATCATACTTGTCTGTAAGAGTTTAATAAATCGTCTCTCTTAGAATTAGGTAGTCATAATGACCAAAGTTTTAAATATAGAATTAAATTATCAATTGATGACATGTTAAGTACGTACTATTAGACCATCAAATATAATTGAAACAAGTGTTAGAAATCTAGAAGACGGATAAAAATGAAGATGTTGGAAGCGCTGTCACGAATAAAATCATCATTAGAAATTAGAGTGGAATAGTTCATTGACATTGTCCGGAAAAAGAATAGATTTTCATAGCACACAAATACCTGACGGATAATGGAAATAAAATAAAATACAACAAAACTATATTTATTATATAAAGAAAGAGTTATAGAACACAAAACAGTGTGATATAAGTATTAATTAATTAAGTAAATAAACATTACTCGTATAAGAGATTAGAGTTTAAATTTTAATAGAAAACAAAAAACATTAGATATTGTTAATTGTTATATGTTTAAGCATCGATAAGTAGAATTATCCAACATCTCTACTATTGAGAGGTACTCCCTCCGTCCTAATTTATATGGTGTTTTTTTGCTTCTCGAGATTCAGCCTATGCAAACTTTTGATTAATATTTTAAAATATATTTTTTATTACATTAACATAAAAGAATTGCTACTTATAGTACTTTTCGTATAATATAATAATATTTAAATTTAATTTTAAAATATTTTATTAATCCAATTTAATTTTTTTAATTAATTTTAACTCTTTAAAAAATATAAATTAAAATAGAGAAAGTAGTATATGGGACATGAGCATTTTTTAAATATAAAAAAAGAAGTAAAAATAAAGATTATACTACTTAGTAGGAAATAAAATGTGGGAGAGGGAGGGAAGGAATTAGTGGGTGAAAATGAGGGAGAGGTAGCTATCAAGACTTTAGAAGTATGTGGCTAAGAATTGTTTCATTTGATCTACTTTTGTGAATTTTGACATCTGTCTGTGGGCCCAACAACAAAATCCAGAACAAGCCACGCTCGCCACGACTTCTGGATTCTCACGTGTCCAATGGCGATGGACCACCTCTCTATTTAAAACCCACCCCCAAAAAAGAATTTTTCCCTTTTTTGCTCGTTTTAAGTCGGCAAAACAGGACATTTTGAGAATAAGTAAAGTACTCGTGGTGAAATTGAAACCTTCAATATGTTTTTAATAGGTAAATATTAAATTAAAATATAATATTTTTTATATATACTATATATGTTCCTTTGTTTATTATTTTGTCGTCTTTTGAACGATAGAACGAATTATTGGTGATGTGTAGGATAACCATCTATGTCATTGGCGATTCAATTCTACAACTCTTGAAAACATGTATATAAAACTTGTTTAGGCTTCATACCCCATGGGCCAAAAGGTTAGGGGACGGTGGGGCATGACAAAAGGAAATAGATGGTGGTGGCAATTGGGCATAGATACACACACATATATTGCTATAATTTTTTTTAAAAAGAAATAATGGCAGGGATAAAGTTCGCATACACAGTATTCTTTCTAGATTTCACTTTGTTAGGACCGAAAAAACAGATGTCATGCGGAAGCTAGCAAAGCAAACCTTCAACGACGATAAACCAAACAACAAAGGAGAAATCTACCAAAAGAGACACAAACATTTAACGTGGTTCGGTCAACTGACCTACGTCCACGACGGAGATGAGCAATCGACTATAATAAAGAGAGTACAAAATATCGAGAGAACAACCTCACGAAGAGGCAAAACACAAGTGACACACTAACACTTGTCCTGTAAAGTTCTCCCCCCTAAACATGCCTCTCAAGCCTCCTATGACTACATTGTGTATGCTACTGAATGAGAATGAATGATACTCCATTTATAGAAGTCCAAACATTTTCCTACAAGAAAAAAGACTAGCCAAATATGGAAGAGTTATATTTTTCCCTCTAGGAAAAGAGAAAACTCAATTATGTTAAATATGTCGTCCTTTCCTTCATGAGATAGGAAAACCAAATATGGTAATAAAATAAGGACAACACCTAACACACTTGTGAAATTATATTGGATTGTTATTCTATACTTATACTAAGGTTCCTCAACATAGAAATAGCACACTGGCTTACAATCGTAACCCCACATAGTGAGTAACAAAATTAACATTTATTTTCAATGGTGATGTTCGGATCATTTTGTGCACGCCTTTACTACTTCACTACTGCATATCAAATTTAGACAGATAAAGAAGGGTAATTCGATGCACTAAGCTTTCGCTATACGCAGGGTTCAGGGAAGGACCGGACCACAAGGGTCTATAGTATGCAGCCTTATCCTGCATTTCTGCAAACTATTTCCACAGCTCGAACTCGTAACCCCCTGATCACATAACAATAACTTTACCAGCTACGTCATATTCATACCGATGAAAAAAATAATAAAAGAAGAGCTATTAGGCCTCTACGGCAAAACCATGTAACATACTAATGGGATGCAGTGCAACCAACAACATATGTATGAAATGACCATTTGCCTGAAAAAGCAACAGCAACAGCAACAGCAACCACACCAAACCATGTAACATTGCCGACTATTTAATATTTTTGCAACAGCACTAACGGAAAGGGCTATTTGGAAAAGAAAACGACCAATATCGTAACTGATAGAAAGGGCTATTTGGATAAGAAAATGACCAACTCCGTTTCTTATATATTTCTACAATTGAAAATAATTCAACTTTAAACTCTTCGTATTATTTATTTTACCTATAATGAGAAGTTTTTATAATCCCACAAATAACATGACCTCATAAAACTTTTACCCCTTAAGTTTTAAGACCACAAGTTTTAAAAATATTTTTTTCTTCTGTTTAAATTTCGTGCCGAATCAAACTAACTTATCTAATTTAAACCGGAGGAACCCCTTTTAATAGAAAGGGCAATTTAGACAAGAAAATGACCAACTTTAGAAGTTGGAAGACTAAAGAAAAAAAGTCACCTTTTGGTTGCGTGCAGTGGAGGAGGTAGCGTGGGGACCGGGTACGGTCGAATCCAATAACTTTGATTTGAACCTTGTATTTATCTTACAAAATTTATTAAATATATATAAATAATTAATTTAGAACTCAATAACGTTTAAAGATTAGAATCCCGAACCAGCAACATGTGGTTGTGTTATGTGTTTTTCTGTTGATTTATATTTGTCCTCCACGACTTTATTTTTTCTCTTTTCCCTTTTTGTTCCTTCGTTTCTTCTCTCTTTCCTCCTTCCCCTATAGCATTCTTCCTCTTTTCCTAACACTGCTCAACCACCAGTTCTTTTCCGCTTCTTCTTTTCTTTGTCATAACCCCAATATTCTCATCTTCTTAAGAAAAAAATTTAACTTTGTGTGCTACACTACAACCACAGTTAGATTTTGACTTTGTTTCATACATATTTCTGGTTTTTTTGTTTGATTAATTGTATGGTTTTCTGGGTCAGTGAATATTGGAAAATGATTTGAAGAGTGAAAAAATAGATATAAACAAATATGAGAACCCTTTGTGATGTTTGTGAAAGTGCTGCTGCTATACTATTTTGTGCTGCTGATGAGGCTTGTCTTTGTCGTGCTTGTGATGAGAAGGTATACATCGAATTCCATTTTCAGTATTCATCAATTTATTTATATATCTCGATGTATTTTTCTATTTAATACTTAGATATAGCCTTTTTTTTTGGTACTATAATAATCCTGAATTGGTTGATTCATTGTTGATCCATATTGTAACTCAAGGTCCCTACTTTATGAAATAATAACACTATCTAATTTACATAGATGAAATTATCTACTTTGAGCCTCCTATTCTGTTAGTTTTCCTGATCTAGGATTTTAAGGTACTTTATATCTTCCACTGGTGTAGTAGTGGCGAAGCCAGAAATTCATACTAGGGTATTCCACTAATACTTGGAGTGTCACATGTAGGATTTCAACCTGTGATCTGAAGCAATTTTTGAATCCCTTTTGCCACTACGCTATAATAGTCCCTTATGTCAAGGGGATTCAACAATTTATGTGCAGTACAATTTTTCGGCGAAGGGGATTCAATAGAACCCTCTTGCCTCCCTTTGCCTCCATCTCTGCGTAAGTGCATAGTGCATACTGTGGCCTACGTTTCTTTCCTTGTACTTGCTACTTTTACTATGCCTGCTCTTCTGGAGTATACAATTCAATGCAATCCCCTTTTTGGTACTGCATCTTTTGGAATTCCATGTCCACCTCCTTGATCAACCTGAACGGACTAGTGGCTTTTTTCTTTATTTGACAGCAGTGGTTCCTGTCTATCTTGCGAGCACCTCGCCAAGTATAAACTATTTTCCACCAGCATAGGTACGGGTACTCTGCCCCAAAGGCTTAGACAGGTGGGAAGAAATCAAACCGGAGGTTTTTGTGTCTGTTGGGATTGGAACCGTGGTCATTTCATCAATTTCATTGACCGTGAGGCCCACACAATTGGATGTTCTTCATAACACTTTTCTCTGGCCAGTGGTGTATTTTCCAATGTGTAGTGTGGAAACTTCTTCATATTTAGCACTGGCTTATTGTCTCGCCTATATCTACATGCCCTTTTACTTATTCTTGGTTGCCAAGACGCTTCTAGTGTTTGGAAACACAAAAATAAAATACAAGTTGTAGGATGTTACATGACCTTAATAAGGTTAGAAGACCCTGGCGCATTTGGTAAATATCTGTTTGTTTACATTCAAGTTTCATCTGTTTTGCACTGAAAGAAATTCACGACCCTTGTTTTTGATAAGGTCCATATGTGCAACAAGCTTGCAAGTCGACATGTACGGGTTGGGCTTGCTGACCCCAGTAAAATCCAACGTTGTGACATATGTGAAAATGCACCTGGTATGTAGATTCATTTCTTTTTCATTTCAGTATTCTGTTTTCGCTGTCCAAGATGGCAAAATTATATGAAGTATGTACTTCTTTACTTGTATGTAGCTTTCTTTTATTGTGAGATCGATGGAAGTTCCCTTTGTTTGCAATGTGATATGATTGTCCATGTTGGAGGTAAAAGAACCCATGGAAGATATCTCCTTATAAGGCAGAGAATTGAGGTTTGTAAATTCATGCTAAGACAAGTCCTTGTTCAGGTTCTTGTAGTTTTTAGGGAAAGAGTCTATATTCATTCCTTCTTTTATGTCCTTCTTTAGTTTCCAGGGGATAAATTGGGCCCTTCAAATGAACTAGGATTGCCATCTACTGAACAAGGTGATGTAAGGAGGGAGCCAGCACAGCCCTTTACGCTCCCTATGATAGAAAACCACCAATCAAACAGGGAAACTGCTAAGGCAGGGCTAGAAAATAATGTGAATAGTAGCGTGAAAATGGAGAATGAGTTGATTGACCTTAATTCCAGACCTCAAAGGATGCACGGTCAATCGTCAAATAATCAGGTAATAAACTCAAATTGAATGTACTATTTCACTCTATTTGTTCAGCTGCCTGTCGATCCCAAGTAAGTATTAAATTTAATGCAGGAACAAGGAATGGACATGCTTAGTGGCAGCAATCATGAGTCAGTCAGCGTTGTTCCTGATGGACCCTTCAAAAGAGAGCCAGAGAAGTGATCAAGGTATACACTCTATGCAGTATATTTGAGTTTGGATTGAACGTCTTTCTTCTCTTGACTCTCAAAGTCTTGTAGTACTTTGAGTTTTACCTTATTACAATGTGCACATACATAAGCAATATCCCATGCTTATTTAAAGATTCTGAAGAAGTGTTTAAGGACTTTAAGGTGCGCTTCAAGGTGGTTGGGGCTAAGAAAAAAGCTTGAGAGAATTTGCACCTTTTCGATTGAGATGTATCTTCACTGCGATTTTCGAGTGCCTCACTGCTACTTGGCATTTACGTTATGAGGATCATGTAACAAGTTTAACAAAGAAAAAGGAACAAACCACTTTCAGCTTTTTCAGCAAGGAAGAAATTGTAGAATCAGTGAGATCAAAATATCTCATTTCTGGAGAAGCAGGAAGGGAAAGAGAGCAGTAATGGAAGAAGGAGAATTGCCTTTCCAATCATTTAAGTTTTTGATGGATTTCGTGGTAGTGAATTTACACTACATACATAGAGTGTACATGGGCAGTTTCAAATTAGGTTGGAAAAAACTACTTATCTATTTTGGTTTTATCAACCAATAATAAAAAATTGTCGTCCATGCACAAGGGAAGCATTTGTCATTTTGTTTTCGGGACCTATAAGAATTGAGTTATGCTGAAAGAAACCATATTCTACTAAGTGCCTTATTGCATGCTCGATTCTTCTAAGTGTTCATTCTGCATAACTCAATAAGAAATAGAAGTAAAAACGTACAAAATCAGTTCCTTATTCCTGCTCTCATTCTACTAAGTACCAAATTGGTTCTTTCTTGCAAGATGGTGCACAACTGATAACGTAAGGATATTAAATAAGATATAGAAATCCTTTCAATGTTTGCATGAAAGTGTGTGGGCACCTGGAATTGCTAGGTTCTCTCTGTCATTGGCCCCATCTTCGGGATCGGCTTCAAAAATGTTTCCTATAATTTAGTATCATAAATCAAACCATCCCCAACAATTTTCTCAGAGAAAAATTTATCACGTATGAAATACTATGTATTACTATGATTTTAATTTTCTTAAAATTTTAATAATAACTTTCTTAAAATTGTAATATTCCATAAATTATTTGGATTTGTCCTCGTCTGTCAGATTGTTACCCAAAAATAAAGGGTAATCTGCCTATAAATGGTCCATTCACCTTAAAAATGTTAATCTTGAACCCACAAAATAAAATTCTTTCGTGCTTCTACTACTATCCATGCCCCGGCAATTGTATACACTCTAGCTTTACCAAATAGAATGTTTGATTTGGCTTCGGTTCCTAATTTGAGTTGTTGAAGAAGTAGTTGTACGACTCGATTGGCACCTTCCCTTGGAATGATTCACATAATGCCTCTGGTTTTGTTGGAGCTCCATGGTTCTTTCTTTTGTCATCTGTAGTATAGTAAAGGGCTTCATCTAGTCATGCTTCATTTCTCACGACTCTTATGGTTCTTTACACTTGAATGAAGCATCTTTACCTATGGTGATTTCTTAGTGGGGGGAAATAAGGGTTATTCTTACATCTTGTTGATTCGATAACCTTTTACTTCTATTAAGTGTTCTACTAGCAGAGATTGAGGATGTATTGGAAGATTTCAGTTAAAACTAGCCAATTATTGGGGATGTTTGTCATTACTTAGTTTGATGTTTTAAAGAAAAAGATCAGTTCTGACTGATTAAAAAAAAATTGTTCAGTTCTGTGACGTAGTTTCATTTACCCCTTTACAACTAGTGCAGGTATGGCAATGGGTAGGGGGTTGAAAAAGCATTACCCTGTCAGTCACTTGCCCTTACCCTCACTTGTTGCGGAGACTACCAAAAATTCAGGATCACCCTCCATTATCCACTCATATCCCTTTGACCCTTTCCCTCTGCTCTTTTTTAATCGAAATACCCTCCCTGTGTTAATAGGATTGGTGCAAATATTTTCAAGTGTAGGATGCAAATTCCCATTTCTAAAACCTATAATCATCTTATGCAAAATCTTCAACGTTTAGTATGCGCTAACAGAAAGGAACTACATGCGAACACCCTCTTCTCCTTCCTTCTCTCTCTCTTTCTCACCCAACGATAGACACTAAGTAATGCATTTTTGTTCATTCTTTTCCGAATCCTGTAACTAAGTCAATGATTTGAATTCTATTCTATATGGGGCCTTATGGTCCTCTGAGATTCTTGCATATTTCCAGCTCTTCTATTTGTGAAGCCTGGTTCATGAAAAATATTTGGCTAGTTAGGTACCAAGAATTTATGCTATTAAAGTGTAAATTTATTATGCTCTTCAAGGGGGATATTGGACTATGAGTAGGAATTCAATTCCCTTGCCTTTCATTGGATTTAACACTGTCGGTACCATCAGGTGTCCTGCACGATCCCTCCATTAACCTGCTTTTGAGTCATCTAAGCTTATTTCTTTTTTTCCATTTTCTACCCTTTATTATTTTAATGATGCAAACAAATGTTTACTTTGCTTCTGAACTCCTCTTTAGTGAAAACTGGGGTCGGAACTTGAATTTAAACATTTGCTTTCCCTCAACTGGAGCTTTGAAGGTCAGGGCCTTTGCTCAAACCACTCCCATTTACAGTCTGTTTGGGTGGTTACCTTTATATCGTAATACTACTTATGCCGTTCTCCTTTGGATTCTCTCTTAACCCTTCTTTTCTTCTTCTCATGGATCCTGGTCTTTCACCTTGTAGCTGGTAATAGACCTACAACCTAGCAACGCTAAAAAGCCCTTAAAACATGAACTGGGTGCGTTCTTTTCATGTTCAGATGGATATTGAATATATACTTCAAATTGTAACATTTCAGTAAGATGTCTAGCTTCACAATCGAATTGTTGGACGTTCTTACTAAGTGTACGATCAATCTTGCTGCACTACTCTTGAGAATCTGGAAGTGTTTCCTTGCTTTGACTATGTATGTAAAATTATAGCAAGGTGGATTTTATGGTATTAAAATGTTTATGTTTGAACTTTGAACGTGTTGGGCTGTGGTGTACTAGACAAATTCTGCTCAGTTTATGGGGCTATATGCTTATTTCTGTTTTTGAAGTGCAGATGTGAGATTGCCGCTGCCCTTCCAAAATTCAAACTTGAATTATGAATTGGAGCTGCCGGCCCTAGCTGAGTTCTGTAAAATGTCAGAGCTTTAAGCAAGGCGAAGCGTTTGAACTAGTCAGGACCAAGTTGAGTTTTCTCTTGGAGTGAAGAGCACTCTGAAGTTCATTATTCAACCACTTCCATGCCTATATTTCAAGATGAGGATCAGAAAGAAGTTCTGCCATCTTTCTTTTGAGGAGAGGATAAGGCTGCAATCACCACATTTACCTCTGTATTTTCTTGTACTGAGTAATGGGAAAAACAATCTTTACAGATTCAAGATGAACTGGGACACTAATGTAGTGTTGTCATTCATTACATTGTACTAGTTTTTAGTCATGAATTTTTAGTCTCATCTGGTTTGTATTTGTCTCTATAGCAATTCTGTTATTAGACTTCAAAATCATTCAAGGTTGAAGCCAAGGGTATATCGGAAACAGCCTCTCTATCCCACTAGTGGGATTTTACTGGGTCTTTGTTGTTGTAATCATTCAAGGTTGACACAAACTATTGGGGAGTAATTGAACCACCCAAGAATCAATATGACTGTCACCAACTCAGAAAGGAAACAATCTTTCTTGTTCTCCCTTAATATTTCTCAACATAAAAAGAATGACAATAATCAGGAAGGTTAAATGCCATTTGATTACAAAGATAAAAAGATGGACATATGCCATTGTTAATCAAATCTCTACCATATATCTATCAAGAATGAATATACAGTTAATCAATAAAACTCAAAAGCTTCGTTTTGTGCCAACATCTCAAGAACCTCGGGCATATCAATTATCACAATTCAAATCAGTTAAGTCCTTTTCATCCCATTGATAATCAAGAACTCCTAATTCAGGCACCTTGCATAATCAGTAGAATGTGGCATCCTTTTGATGGCACAAAGAACATAATCTCTACGATCTTCGTCGAATTTCTGAAGAATAACACTAGAAAGTTCGTACTCCTTCATCAACCAATGTCCATCGTTCTGATTATAATACTCTTTATTCACATAACACAAGCTCTTTTTGCATCCAATAACCACTAATGATGAATTTCCCACATTTTCGTAGTGAACTGATTTAGCCTTGTCTTGCTGTTTCCAACTCCCTTTATTACCTACCTCTCGATTATACCCCGCCTTGCTTTTCTTCTTCAGCTTTGTAATGAAATAGCGATAATTACTGCTATCCGCATTATCATCATCATCATTACCACAGGATACGCCGTGATTGTAAATTTCCCATGGTTCTTCTCCGCCATAGACGTCGATGTTTGTTGTGATAAATCCAGAATCATTCATTTCTTGTTTAGCAATGAATCTCAACAACAACTTAAGTCGTTCTGAATCAGTAGGACGAAACCGATAAAAACCCTCTTGCAGCTGCTGCTCCATTCTTGGATTTTTTTTTTCAATAAGAATGAAATAGAAATAGGAATATGAGGCGACGGTTCTGAGTTGTATTCCTATGAATTTATAGATATCTGTAGGTTTCCGTTTAGGATATTAATTAATTGGGCAAAAAGTAAGGGTTTCGTTAATTTCTTCCACCCAAAGAAATAGCAGCGGTAACTGCCTTTTCAACAACACATCCGGATTTTTTTTTTTTTTTTTCGTATCCCAAACGGAGGATGGGTCAAATATACGCTTGGTTTAATAAAATTCTATTGAATTTAATAATTTTATTTATAAATTCAATCCGAATAGAATAATAATTTTTATTTATTAATAAACATAAATAAAATATTTCTATATATTGATCAAGCCACAAATGTATACTAATTCTTATTAGAATTTGAGCTTAGTGAATTGCATTTTTCATTGGCAGAAATTTTTTGTAAAAGAAAAAAAAGTTCAAGGAAATTTGTACTTTTGCGTGGTGATGTGCTTTTAATACATAATTCTTAGTTTAATACATAATACACGAATGTATGAGATATTTGTCTTCGTCTTTTCTCTAGTAGTAGTATTTGATTTTCTAAAATTTTAAATTAAAAGAACATGAAATGAAAAGTAAGAATACTACAACTAGAAGCGGACCCAGAGTTTGAGCGCAATGGGGCACCACTGTATGATTACTAGTGATAAAATTCGATGTGCACCTAGATTCTAATTACTAGCAATAAAATTTGGTGTGCAACTCTTTAAAAAGTTACTGATTATAATCGATAACTTATCATCTAAGTATTTTTAAAAAGTTCTAAAAAAGAAAAAGCATCAAACAGAGAGAGATTTTTTGCAAAATGGGTGTTGCGTGAAGGGAAGGTGTTTGATTTAAGTCTATTTCAAACATTAAAATTTCTAGTTTTTTCTCAATTAAAAAGGAGTCAATGATCAAAAAGGTGTTCAAACTTTAAAATTATCAAAAATTTACACACAAAAAATCAAGATTAAGGGTGTGTTAGTAGTCAAGGAATTGAAGAAGAGTCTCAAACTCATCGTGGAGTCAAAGTTGGTGATGTCCACTACTTTATCGAATTGATTGTTAAAGAAGGTTGTGACATAAAGTATTTATATATTTTTATTAGTGGAGCAATAAGTTACAATTTGAGGTTTTTGATTTGAAGGGTGAGATTTACAAAAAGAATAAAATTAATTATGTTCACCAATATATACTAGTACTAAACTAAAACTGATTTTAGAAAAAAGATAAAAATAAAATAAAATAAACCAGTTTACTATTAAATTATGTTGAATTGAAATAAGTAAACCAGAAAGGAGTAAAAGCTAAACATGAGTTTCAAACTCACATCAACCACTAAAGGGAGGAAACTAAAGCACTCTACTCAACCATTCCTTCGGTCAAGCTTTTGTGTTTGGGGCACACATAAATTATTTAAAGGGTCCCAACTTTATTTACAAATATATATATAAAATATATATACATGATTTCTGCCGAAATTAACGGGGTCCCGTGACCCCTCAAGAGTCAAGTTAGGTACGCCTCTGACTACAACAACAATCATTACTATTGAGTTACATTCCAGTCATGTAACTTTTTGCCTATTATTTTACCTCTAGTTTTTTTCTTTTACTGTTTTATCTTTTATCTTTTTTTATTTTCAATTCCTTGATCTTTTTAGTTACTTTCGTCCCTTTTTCTACTTATTCCTACCTTACTTCCTTTATAAATTTCTTTCTTGCATTTAAGTAACATGAATCGTAAACCTAAAAAAATTTATGCTATTAGATGACCTTTATGTATTGTAACATGCAATTGCTTTATAAAAAATTACTAAAGAGGAAAAAATATTCTTACATCATTTGATCTATTTTTCGTAGTCACATTGTACACACCTCTAAATATAAATGTTGGCCAATAAAAGATGCCACACACGCTTTAATGGGGTAAAATGAGAGGAAACATAAAAAAATGACATAGTAACAACTATTTGGTTTTAGAGTAATGTAATGTGATTTTTCTATAAATTTGATACAAGCCGCGATGACCAAGGAATCTTTTAGTAAAACTCAGCAAAATAAAAATAACTTTAGAACATATTTTCTACTTTGTAAATAAACAACAACAACAACAACAACAACAACAACAACAACAACAACAACAACAACAATAATAATAATAATAATAATAATAATAATAATAATAATAATAATAATAATAATAATAATAATAATAACAATAATAATAAATATTAGAAAAATGCTTGTATCACCACTATCACCATTGCAATACCCATGATCCATAGACAACCGCTTAAAAAAGAAAGCAAGAAACATTACTTTAAAGTAAAAGTTGTATCCAACACAAAGTAAAATATTGGATCAACTCTATCAAACAAAAGCTAAAATATTGGATCAACTCCATCAAACAAAAGCTTGCCAAACTTGCCTACCTGCTCTTGAAATTTGATAGAGATATTTATGACATTATCATCATCGCCTTAGTATACGTCTGCTTACATGAATATTTGTTGAAACTATTTGGTATTTCAACAACATATATAGTAACAAAAAAATTAATTTAGAAACTTACTGCAATGTAGTTGGGATGCAGAGGCGGAACTAGGATTTAGAGTGTGTGGGTTCTAAAATTTAAAATAGGGCTATGACCTAAAACTAATATACAATATCAAACTGACTAAAGAATGAGTATCGATATTTAATATATATTTAAAAAGAAACGAAAGACAAACACAATATATGGCCCCGAAAAAGAATTCCTCTTCTAGTAGAAGTTACACTCTCATCATGGCCCCGAAAAGGAATTCCTTCTTTCAAAAGATACCTCATCACATCATTGAAGCATTCAAACGAACTCGATGTTCACTTTTAATTTTCTCAGATTGCTTGTCCAAAGAAGTTAGAATGAATTGTGTTTGGTTTATTAAATTAAATCTAGCATCATCTTGAAATATCGATTATGAACACTACTCATGTCACCCACATGTGATTTAAGCCTTTCTAAACCTTTATTCCAACCTCTAAAACCATCCGTTGTGAAAGCATCACCTACTTTTTTTCCATATCCTCCAACCTCCTTTTTAAACAAGTAACAACATAAACAAAATGTTGCATCTTGTTTAATACTATATTCTAACCATTGAGAACATGAAGTTTTAAACCATTTAGGACTAAAGTAACGCATTATTCCTCCAAAATCTCTTTTTGGGAAGACAAAATCACGAGGTTGACAAGGTCCATTTTGTATATAATTTCTCCTTATGCGGTCACGTAAATTAGGAGGATATTCTGAAATTGGTTTTCTTTTAGCAGGATCGGACTCATAATCCCACACTTTAGGAGGATATCATAGCGATTTTTGCTAGAAAAACCTAAAAATCAGAAAAAACAAATTCACTTGAAGTTTTATGTTTCAAATGCTATAACAAACTATTCTTTATCTCCTTTGACATAGTTCAATTTGTAAACTATAATATGATTTGTTCCCAAAATTTAAAAACTTAGTGTAACTAGTTAGTTCTCATAAATTGACAAAGAGAATAGAGGTCAAATTATGAGACAACCCTAGAATCAAATATTAAAAATTAAATTTTGCATAAATTATCAAATATAAAATATAAGATTAAAACATGAAGCAAAAAATCAGAAAATAAGAATTGAAGAAGGAAGAACTTAGAAGGGTCTAACTTCTAAGGGATAAAGAGCATACACTGATACACAGTGGAGAATTGGAGGGCGTCCGGCAGATTGTGGTATCAGTGATTGTCAATCAATCGCACAGGCAGAGGCGCAGAGCAGCTGAGCAGGACCCTAGTTTTTTTTTTATTTGAGAATTGGAGGAAAACGTTTGTGTTTAAAGTTGGAAAGCTTCTGGTCTTTGTTTATTAGAAAGAAAACAAGTTGTTGTGTTTTATTTATTAAATAATATTACTGTAGTGTTTGTTGAGACGAAAGTCAGAAGAAACGTTAAAGTTGGAAAGCTTATGATTTTTGTTTATTAAAAAGAAAACAAGTTGTTATGTTTTATTTATCAAATAATGTTACTTTTAGTGTTTGTTGAGTGGAAAGTAGTTATTAAATAATGTTAGTTTAGTGGAAAGTAGAAGAAACGTAGTCGCTCACATTTTGATTTGTTAAAAAACGTAAAAAAACAACAACAAAATAAAGCACTGCTTTATATGGGAATCAAACCCACATCTTTTCCAAAGAACCCACAACTCTTACCATTGAACCCATACCTCTTTTGATTACTAGGTTCATCATGATATATTTATATAGATGTGGTAAGTTTTTCAATACAAATAAAGGGTTTCGGAAAAAGTCACTGGGTTCGGCCGAACTCGCACCCACTACTGTACCTCCATTCCTGTTGGGATGAAACCAATGCCCACTATATATAGAGAGAGAAAGAGAGATTGATTGGAAATTAGCTGTACGTCAAGTAAGGGATTGAAAGGCCAAACAATAAAATAATAAATTAGATACTATTTAATACTCATAATTGTATAGTAATTACTTTTAATGGTTGGAGAAGTGAAACAACTCTGTTTTTAATTTGAAATGCTTACTATTAATTACACATAATTATATTTCTCTTCCCTTATTTAAGACTCATAATGATATATAGGGGAAGAATTCTAATAATTGAGTAATTGCATTTAAATAAGGGGAAAAAACAAAAAATCAGGGAAAAAGATAAAATAGAGATGCTGGCATTTGAGGCATGCCACATCAACTTTCCTATTCCTAGAATTATTGATATATATATAGAAGTTTAAATATATCATTTGTTATGCTTTCAGTCTATAATACCCATGCCGACATGCCATAATACTACTAGTTCAAATATATTTCTCTTCCGCTAAATTTGTCCAAAGAACACATTTTACCTGTCTTTTATTATTTTTTTCATCACTAGACTTTCCTTCCCCTCGAAGAAAATTTTACTAGTGGAAAAACAAATATAGGGGAGAGATAAAATGGGTTAAGGCGTTGAGGTGGCATGTCACGTGGCATCATGGAAACGTCCTTTTCCCAAGCATTTATATTTGAGTACTTTCTTGTGTGTTAAATTCTAAAATCTTCATTATGAGTATTTTGAATCATTAAAAATTAGATCCTACCGTTATTCCATCCGGTCCATAATAAGTGACTTTTAGCCTTTGACACATTCTTTAAGAAAATCTGAATTTCTAGAGAAAAAAGTTGTATTCACTAAATTACCCTTAATTAATTGTTACCTTGACACATTAGAAAAATAAAATTATTTCTTTTTTGTTTAGGTAAAAGGATACTTATTTTGGACCAAAATAAAAAGGCGAAAATGTACTTATTATGGATAAGAGGGAGTATAAAAGAAGAGGAGCTATTGGATAAAGTAATGCTATAAAAATCTCCAAAAGCCATATAACGACAAAAAATGTAATTCCTTTCTACTTGGTTTAACGTAGTGGCGGGAATTTGAGCCAGTCTATTTATCATGTCCAACCCGCCCAGAGATTAATGAGTTGGACTACAAATATTTTTAGCTCATGGGTTTATTTGGATTGAACCAAGTTAACCCATCATTTGTATAACCCATGAAGTAGCCCAAATACAACTCATGGAGCTCACCCAAAACAAAGGGATCTCAGCCCAACTGAAGGCTTGTCTAGAAATTTATTTAGTTGCCCCATCAATATTTTCTGTATATAAGTTTAAAAATGAGAATCAAGGTATTTAAGTTTTAATGTAAATATGAATAATTTTGTAATTGAGTTGTGGTGAAATTTGCTTATTTAGAAATAACATAAAAGATATTTTTCAACTTACAAATTTTAAATACTAATTTGTTATTTAAGAAAATATATTTTGATTCTCAAAATATTGATAGTATTTTTTATTTTTTTTTTGGAAAGGAGGGAGTACTTCTTAAATGGGGAGTAGGATTTCTTGTGTTACATTGTAAAGAACAAATAATAACTACATAAATAGATATAAATCAAAATTTGTACAAAAATGAATTATTTATGGAACAATTGCAACATCAGGAAAAAAATAATTCAACTAGCTAAACCTTTATCTTGCACAAAAAATTTCTTCAAAAGATTTTCTGAAACATTGTATTTGTTTTTTGCTTTTTCTTCTTCTTTATTATACACTCTTAAATATTTATTTAGTTTTAGAAAATTATAAACGTTCATGAATAGTTGAGTATAAGATTAATCCATATGTGTTTCTTAGCTAAAAATTTAAAGTTAGATATATATCAATTCATCGTTAGTGCATGAAATGAATAAATTATGAAGAAGCTAAGAAAGTAGGGAACATACATAGGTGTATAAAAGGCAAATAGATTTGTTTATGCAAAATGAGCATGGATCTAAAATATGATTCAAGTAAAGCGAGTTGGGCTATGACCCATTGTTTAGCCCATCTTAACCTAGCTCATCTTAACCCAAGTACACTTTGGATTTGGTTGAGTAAAAATTGTACGGGGTAGCCACTATTTAAAGTGGTATTTACTTTTTATCCAGTATTTTTAATGCTGAGCAAAAGTAGCCACTAGTTTATTAAAATTAATATGAAATGACGTTGTTATCCTTTTCTTCCCAAACGGAAATAGTGACTTGGAGAACAGGTCGCTGACCCTGATACCAATGAACTGTTGCATTACACAGAGAAACCTGAAACTTTTGTACGTCCAGATCCAACATTTACTTACTTTTGGGCTTTACTTGCGTCAACCAGGAAATGTGTAGGTTTATACCCATGGTGTCATGCCTAATACGATGAAATGCAGGTGAGTGACCGCATCAACTGTGGTGTTTACGTATTTACACCAGATATCTTCAATGCTATTCAAGGAGTATCCAGTCAAAGGAAAGCCAGAGGTTAATCTATGCATCCTAACTAGAGATTCCCTTGACTATGTGTTTTCATGTTAACAGGACTGAGATATATGGTCCATCTCTTCCTTTGATCTCATTGTTCTAGTGTCATTTTAAGGACAATGAGTCCTGAACTTATACTCTGTTTGACCAAGCTTCTTTTTGGCCAAAATTGCTTTTTTTTTTGCTAAAAATGAGGTGTTTGGCCAAGCTTTTAGAAGGAAAAAAAGTGTTTCTGAGGAGAAGCAGAAGCAGTTTTGGAGAAATAGAAAAAAGTAGCTTCTCTCCAAAAGTACTTTTTTGAGAAACACTTTTGAGAAAAATACATTTAGAAGCAGTTTTTTAAAGCTTGGCCAAACTCTAATTGCTGCTTAGAAGTGCTTTTCAAACTAATTAGCTAAACACAAACTAATTCTCACCAAAAGTACTTTTGTGAAAAACACTTTTGAAAAAAGCACTTCTTAAAATAAATTGATTTCAGCTTGTTCAAACGGGTTATTAGGCTAAGAAGCCTAAAAGTTAAGGATAATAGGTCCTGAACTTACAGTTACACGTTCAAAAGTTAAGGACAATAGGTCCTGAAGTCCTGAACTTAGAGTTACAAGTTCAAAAGTTAATAACATATAGTCCTGAAGTTAAGTTCAAAAGTTAAGGACATGAGCAGAAGGGTATTTTCGTCCGGGCAGTTAAAGTTTATTAAAGCAGTGGCTAAAGACTAAAGACATTTTAAACAGTGGCTTAAAAGTAAATACATGTGTTATTAGTGTCTAGCCATGCACTTCCCCCCTGGGTTGGACAATTGCCCATTTTTTGACTCAACCCATCTTAACCCGCCCAAACTCAGCTCAACCCGTCATTTGCCACCTTTTAACATCTAATGTAGTTTTGATTACTTAGAGTTAAAATAATTTAGGGAAAATGACACTGTATAGCTGCTCTCAAAATAATAGTCGAAAAACTATATATTTTTTTATATAAATATTTTTGTATATTATATAAAAAAATATACAAATTTTATACATTTTTGTAGCTACTGAATATAAATAGTTTCAGTGACATTAAGTATTTTTTACTACTTTAAAGGTATCCACAATGAAGCAAGAAGCTATTTCAAGCTCAAATATAGCACAAAACAATTCCAGGTTTATAATTCATTAAGCAACACTAACTAATCTCAATCATCAAGAAAGTTTATTAAACTGGTTAATTAAAAAAGTACAGGTAATCAAAAACAAAAATACTCTTCTCTATGACTTTACTATTAATTGCATAATAACTCATATGAGAGAATTCATCGTTTCTCTGCTTCACTATAATCACTTAGATCATCATCCTTTTTTCTTCTCTTCTTAAAAACTTGAGTGCAGTAACTTAGTAGACATAGCCTTTTACAAACATTCCTTGTTTAGCTTCATCTGATTCACCCTCGCCGGTGTATTTTCCGAGTTGAGCAAGAGAATTGGCTTTGGCTCTGGTAAGTAAAGCATCCTGAGCAGCCTTAACATTTTCGGGTTGTCCTCCCCATGTCTTCAAGCAAGTGTTCTGAAGAGCCCTCGCGTATGAGAACGATACGTGCCATGGGTTTGGAGCTTGGTTCATGGCATTCAAGTTCAATGTAGCCTCAACTTCTGATTGCCCACCAGACAAGAACTGCAATAATATTGAATCAATTAGCACAAATTATGTAGTAATTTCCTTCCTAGTGCCAATGTTTATGTTAGTCTTCGTTGAGTGTTTATTCACTTATTCATCTATCACTAGTAATGGACTAATGATTCATATTCTATATGTAGAGTGTTGACAAATAAAAGTATTGACTCTGTTCCATCTTATACAGTACTTTTCTTTTTAATCTGCTCTGCTCTGCTCTGAAAAGAATAACTCTTTAATAACTTCTCATTTTGTCTTAAATGGCATGCTCGTATAGTCATAGAAATGTCATCGAATGTTTAAGAGCACACATTTTAAGGCTACTTGGGCCATGTGCCGACAATCTTTCTTTGTTTGTCAAATTTCGTGCTCAGTCAAACACTATAATATGAGATAAAACTTAGGGAGTGCCAGTAACTCAAGTTTCTTAAAAACTAGCTAAATTCATAGAAATAGAGGAGACTTACCATGATTCCAGGGACAGCTGGGGGGATCCTCCTTTGAAGGAGACTTAGAGTATAGTCCGCGACTTGCTGAGGAGTGGCCCTGTCTTTGCATTCAGCACCAGGGGTGACCATGCTCGGCTTCAGGAGGATACCCTCGAACATGACATTGTTCTCAGCCAAATAAAAGAAGACCTCAGCCCAAACCTTCTGTGCTACCTCAAAAGTCCTGTCAATACCATGTTCACCGTCTAACAAAATCTCTGGCTCCACAATTGGGACCAAACCACTGTCCTGAGAAATGGCAGCGTAGCGAGCCAAGCCCCATGCTGCTTCCTTCACAGCTAATGCAGATGGTCCGTTGGGAATGCTCACCACGGTACGCCTGCATAAGTTACCATAATTTTAGCACATATCATCTTAAACATAACAAAGTCAATATTTTTGAAAATTACGAGGCATTGTTGAACATACCATTTGGCGAAACGTGCACCCTGTTGGTAGTATGCAGCAGTGCGGGAGGCAAGACCATCAAGACCTTGACACCATGACTCATCATTTGAACCAGCAAGGGGAACCAAACCCTGGTAACAGATAAAATGATTAGGGGATTTTGATAGAAATCTCATTCCAGTCCAATTCATCATTAAACTTGAAATCCTCTCCTTTAACATTCTGTACATAGGCTGATTAATTCTTGTCTGAGCTAGTTTCACCACATCAACAACTCTAAGTTGAACAAGTTAAAGTTTATTTAAGAATAAAACTTAAAGTTTGAACACCCTATAACAAGCTCTTGCTACCAGAGGCGGACCTATGTGTTATAGTGTGGGGTCACCGGATGCCGAAAACTTCGGTAGAAATCTTGTATGTGTATATGTATATACCTTGAAAATGGTAATTTAAAGCACTTAGCACCCTGAATATTAAAAGCCTTTAGTTGAGCAGAGTATTGTGCCCCCGTCGCGTAAAAATCCTGGGTCCATCTCTCCTTGCTACCCATACATAACCTTGCCTTTCCTCTTTCTTGTTACTACAACTACAATTACACCTTAATTCCAAGCAAGTTGGGGTCGGCTATATAGATCCTCAAACGTTATGTCATTCGATTTAAGCTCATCTGAGACCAATATTATATGAATAAAAATAGGAGTTACTAAAAGTTCACTATACATTTTACTGGCATTGTTTCCTCTTTATAGTTGTCCTTTTTTTTCCTTAATCAAGTTGTGGGTTGTAGGTTAATATACCTTGTCAACTTTGATACCAGGAACAATGTTTTGTTCAACAAGAACATCAACTATTTTGCGGCCATCAACGGTTGATTGGTAGAGAGTCTCCTCGAAAAGAATAGCACCAGAGATGTACTGTCCAAGTCCTGGAGCTGTCACAAGCAGGGTACGGTAAGCTTGGCGGTTAGCCTCAGTGTTTTCCAAACCAATGGAAGCCAAACGCTTTCCACAGGTAGCATTGGATTCATCCATAGCCAAAATTCCGCGTCCTGGTGATGCAACGGTTTTCTACACACAACAAACACTTCATTGTTAAAGCCTTATTCCATTTAAGATTATAACTCAATTTCAAGGCGAATTCAACATGAAACTAAACAGGTTCAAAATTCTGAATTTTTTGTAAATATGGGTTTGAAATTGGTATTTATAGGAGTACTACTTTTCGGTATTTTCACATACATATTGCAAAAGACGGTTTAACTAAACCTATTTCTATTAATCTAGTTAAACTATCATATTGAAAACTTTATTTTGTGAGTGTACGGAACACAAACTCTCTTTAGAGTTTAAGTTTATCCAGTGAAAGTGTAAGGAATTTGTATGCACTCAAAGGCGTAAAGCAACAACAACAACAACAACAACAACCCAGTAGAATCCGACTAGTAGAGTCTGGGGAGGGTAGAGTGAACGACAACCTTACCCCTACCGACTAGTAGAGTCGGCGTAAAGCAATTAATTGGAAACTATTTCAAGCAAATGCGCATTCCCCCTTTTCTTGACGGAATAGCTAATTGATGTACCTGAGATGCATGCATTTCCTCTAGCTCCTCGAGAAGACATTATATGAGCTGGATTAGAAGGGCCAGTCATCCCAAAATTTAATTTAGCCTTTTCATGCTTACTATAACTAGTTATTTCAGTTTTCTACCAGCAACTTTAACTATAAGCTCAACTCTATTCAGTGTTTGGGCAAGATACCACTAATTTAAACTGAACATCTAAAATGAACAACTCATAAGAAGAAATCTTTCAATTTAACCGGTTATAACAGACTATTACTCTATTTTTCAGGTCATCAAATCAGGCTAGATATATAGAGAACTACATATTGTTTTAGGTCAATTTAAGCCGATAGCGAAAAAAATCTTTACACTGGCAGTGCGTAGAACTTAAACTTGCTAAGTTAAAACTTACAGCGGTCTTAACAAGCTCATCAGCATATGGAGAAGCAGCGCGGACAGTGAGAGAAGGAGCATTGGTGGGGTGGCAGCGAACAACTGAGACAGAAGTTTGACGAAGGCTTTGCCCTTTAACAAACTCAGACTTGTCAAGAACTGTTGGGGATGATTTTAGTAGAGATGCTGAGGCCATTTTTTTCTAACTTTTTTTTCTTCTCTCTACTACAATCTCCTTATCTCAGCACACTCTCTTCTCACTGTTACTCTTTGCCACACAAATTTCTCCAACAGAGTGCCAGAATTTATAACTGTACTAATCTGTTACTAAAGATGTCTCATTTGAGGTTGTTATGCTCCAACCAATGCCAGCTTGCCATGCAATCTTGGTTTTTTTTGCCTACCTGGCATATAGTACAAGTGGTTGAAATAGATGGAATGATTCCCACCTCGTAAAAAAATTCATAAATAGTAGTTGTAAATTATGGTCTGTGGAATTTAAAAACATTGATTTCTTCTACTTGGTTTTTTTGGAGTTATTTGATGGTTTAAGCAGGCATCAGCATCAGATTACACTAGACTACAAATAAGTTGGTTTTTGCTCAGAGCAATGGAAGCCAAACGTGAGGCTCTGATAAGCAATCCTACCTCGAGTGGCTTGGTAATGTTTCCCTGTTTGTTTTGGTTATCCCGAGGTGATCAGTGGTCATGGTTCAGTTCCAGGATTGTGCTTGACAATGACTTGTAGTTATTCAGCAATTATTTTTTAATAGCAGCAGTATCCGAAGCAGTTTGCATTCACCTCGATTATTCCGTGGCTATTCCACTGAATACCTACTACCTCCTACCAATTAACTGTTGGATTATTAACCACCATTTAAATTTTGACCCCGGTATGAAAAATCTTGAGATAATAGCCTCCCGCCAAATTTTTGGAAAGCGCTCCTGGCGATCGCCGGAATTACCCCATATGAAAAGGTATGGTGATAGCAGATTTTGGGGCAAATCCTGGTAATCACCATATGAATTCTGGCGATTGGCTGGAGCACTTCCAAAATTCTGGCCAGAAGCTATATTTTCAAGAATTTTCTTACCGGGTTAAAAATTTAAACAGCGGCACCGAATGATCCTATTTGTGCAAATCACCCTAACTTTCAACAATTTTAATGTTAAAGCCCAAAAAGCTATGTACATTGAGGCATCTGCACAAATAACCTTTTTAATGCTACTATTTGAAATCTGTCTGAGTCCAGATAGCTAACTGTGTAAATGAAAAATTTATCTAACTACTTTTCAAAGACAGAATGTAACCCACTGAATTTGAAGAGTAACCTAAAAAGAGGCCCCACAGTGCAAATAATCCCAACTACTCATGTTTAGTTATGTGAAGCTAAAGAGACTGGATCATTACATCTCAGCAAGTCGCAGCAAATTTATATCTGTGACTTGCAACTACTAAGAACTATTTCCCACAGTTAAATGTTCCTGTCTCATCTTTTAGACGGCTGAAAGAATAACTCAGATGAAATTTCATGCACCAAAGCAAAAACCCAATCTGTTGAATCACCTAATAGACTCCAGTCCAAAGGAAGGAAAGCAATATCTAAGTAATCTATACCTATATACAAGGAAAGTTTAAAGACAGCTTGTTTTCTTACACTAGTTGCTACTTAATTATCAAGCTAAATAAGGGTAGTAACTAAAACACAGAACAGGGAAAAATCAGAATTAGTAAGCTGCAAACGGATGCTCTCGACCAGAATTTGGATTTGCAACATAACTTAGTCACTTATTGGACTCAACGACAGGTCATCAAGGCCAGAAATGAGATCATCAAGTAACTTATCGTCTAGCAGTACTCCAAGATTTTCGGCTTCTGAAGGGTTGGAGTCCAAGGAGCTTCCTGCGAGGGCTTTGTTGAACTGTTTAACAAGTTCATCTTCCTCATCTGGAATGTCAAGTTCCCAGACCTTGAATATGTCAGCCAAATTTTCCTCAACAAATGTTGAAAACTCTGAATCTACTTCAGAATGGGAGTCTTCAGCGGATCTCAGATCCTCGTTATAGGTGGGAGGAAATTCATTTTCTGAGTTAATTCTGGACCAAGAACTATCTGTATCTTTGTTGTTAATCCGATGACGAGTTGTGTTCCCTTCTTGTTCATTGGTTGGAGAAACCTCATCAATGGTGTCATCTACCATCCCTGAAATTCCTGTCTCTTCGACGGTGGGGAAAATACAAGATTCTTGAGGAGAGTCATCCCTCGAGACTGCAGAAAAGATTTTTTGGGAAGGAAAAGCGTCCGGTGACGCATGTTTCGAAGAATCCATGTCATGGTCCGATATAGCAAGATCTTTAATGAGGCATGAGTCAGCCCATGCTACATCCTCAGGTGAAAGCACATCTTCACTCTCGTTGCCACCTATGGAATTTAGATCAAGTGGAGAAACACTGACATCTTTCATGTCATCATCATCAGCCATGGCCATGGAGAGAAGTTCAGCCATATTCCTTAGCAACCGTACTGCAACAGAAAGTACATAGGTAAAACCTTCATGAACTATCAACGAACATTTTATAATACTAGGATCCAAGATACCATCTAACTTCATCAAAAAAATACCAATCGACTCAGATCACTTCCAAATTAACTCACTTTTTATGACAGAATACGGTATGTCTGACTAAATTAAGTAAACAAATATCATATAGAGTAGACTAGCTTTTAAGAAGTGCCTTTCTTTGTGGCGGCAATTGGGGTTCTATCTCAGGACCTCTATACACTTGTGGTTTATGACTCCAAGCCCAACCACTAGCAATTAAAAGAAAACCACAAAGAAACGATCTCAAATGTCTTGAAACTGAGGTTTCGATAACAAGATGATGACAAAAAAAGTGGGTTACTTGCATTCACAACAAGGGAAATTCTTCGGGATCAAACCTAAAAAGTTATAATACCAGCAAGATAGAGACAGATGAATATCTTCAGTTGTTGTAGCAGTACTTATTGCCTAACTAATTGATGAATTCAGTTTAAAGACTAAGAGGGTATTTGGCTAGCTTATAAGCATCTTTTGGCTTATCTACGCGTTTGGTAAAAATCCAAAGTGCTTATAAGCTCAAATCAGTCATAAGTCATAAGCTGGTCACCCCCAACTTATGACTTTTCGGCTTATAAGCACTTTTAGTTTGACTAAGACTTTTACCAGTTTATACTTTATAATATTTTGTAATTCACAAAATATTTTTCTCGAAATAAATTTTCTAACTTTCTCTTCATTCAATGTTCATTGTTAACCCTTTTCTTTACAAAAAACTTTTTAAGTTATAATCTTTTGTAAAGTTTTAAAGGGTATTTAGTCAATTTAATAAAAGAACAACTTACCAACATTTTTTACCAAACACATCAACTGCTTATTATAAGTTTCATCACTTCAATCCAAATACGTAAATACTTATTTAAAAAATCAGTTTCAGTACTTAAAAATGTTTTTCAGCACTTGAAGCTTATCAGCTATTTACAACCAACTAATTCAAACGGGCTCTAAGTGTCACTACTAAGAGCCAGGTAAGGATTAAAGATACAGAAGCATAGAGGGATGGAGGAATTGGATTTAATGATTTAATCCCTACCCGACCAACCAGAACGGAAAAGAAGATTTCACTCGAATAAAAGAGCCACTCATCATGTAAAGTCTCAGCGTAGTTGACAGAATCCCAAGGCAGAACCACACTGCAGGTATAGCAGACATAACCAACATAACATCGTCGGTAAATGATAGAAAGCAACCATTAAATTCACATATACTATAACAACAGTAGTAAAACATCTTATACGCCAAAACCTAAGTTTTGACTATGATATATCTTTGGATATTCCGAGACAATAAGCACAGTAACCAAAGGGTCCCTTCACATATAGAAACTAGTGATATCCGACTATTCCTCAAGGATGCAATTCTATGATGAGTAATATCTAAATGTATAACCTTTTCTCCATTCAGTTTCCACATCGACGAGAATTCAGTACTAGTTCATTCTTAAAGCTCCTAACTTGAATCCTTACCTGGCCTTCCTATCCACTTCTACCTACCCCAAGCCTATCCCACACAGCAAAAAGGTGAAAATAATTGACTTTAAGTCCAAACTTCACAATTTTCTTTCATCTTAATTCTGGAATGAACAAGTAGAGAAGGAAATGAACAATTTCTTCCATATTCCTCTTTGTCAAAGTCATCCATTATATAATGTACCCATGAAACAGTCAGTAGTTTACAATCACATTTTGCCTAGTCAAAGACATTCAGCAATACTTAAATTTTGTCATTTCAATCATGTATTACTCTTCTAACAAAATTTGAGAATCCCAGTGATTGAGTTCAATAGCTCCTCATAAATTATTGGTTATAACATTAGATAATTAAATCAAGTTTCACACCACCACATCAATGTTTTCAAAGGAAGAAGATATAAACCAAAATCAAGATGAATTTTACCTAGTAAATTACCTAACTATATATAGCCGCAGCCCGCAATTTGCCAAATGGGTTGAAAGAAATTTGAAACGATATCTGGAAAATGCGACTTCAAAACTTGAGCTTTACTATCTCCTCTCAATGAAAAGAATAAGAAAATAAATGAATTATCGAAATCGTAAGCTACCATACGAAGTCATATATGTTTAATTTATAACTTCAAGAAATCACGAGAAGCAAACTAAAAAAAACCCTAAAATCCACATACGTCTACTTATGTGCCAGCTTTCTCTCAAATAACAAGCGAGCTCAAAGAAAAAAGATGTAACAAAAGAGATTCAAAAAGAATACCTATACGTCTGCTTATTTGCCTCTTCTGTTAAAGAATCTATGCTTTCACCGCAATATGAAATAGGCAGGAGATTTTGAGAAGAATGAAGCTTCACCCTCCGCTACTTCTCCGGGAAAAGACGCAAAGAACAAAGAATTTTGGGCTTTCTGAAGTTTCGAATTAAGGGATTAGCGTATTCTGGTGTGACAATCAAAATTAAAATAAAAAAAATGGAAAGAACGTTTAAAAAAAAATTAATTCCGTTGCCGGGACTTGAACCCGGGTCTCTCGGGTGAGAGCCGAGTATCCTAACCACCTAGACTACAACGGATCTGTTGCTAGCGGGATGCAAAACAATATTTCATTACGTACTCTTGTACCCTTTAAATAGGCTATCAATACATTTTATATCCTTTTGTAACTAAACATAAAATTTAAGAAAGAAAAATAATATTATTGCTACTTATCAAAAGTAACCTAAAATTTTGTGATCTTCATTAATGGTAAAAATAAAAAGATCAAAGGCACATAATTTCAAATATATAAATGAGTTAATTAGTTAGCAGCAGACACTACTAAAAAATCAGGTTTTTGCGACGTACAAATTATGTAGCTAAACAGAAAAAGTTGTTGCTAATCTCATTTAGCGACGGATTAGCGACATATTGTCAAGAAATTCTGCTAGCTACGAGTGATATAACGACAAATTAGCGAGAAGAATGCTTGCCTAATATCCATCAAAATTACAATAATACGGACAAACTCCATCTCTAATATTGAGATTGTCACTGTAAGCTCCACGGTTCCTATATGCAAAATCAAACACCCTAGTGGATGTTCTCAAGAGTGTGTCTGAATATCCGGGATCCGGCGACCGAAAAGCAATGGATGCAGCTGCGAACGCAACTGCAGTCTCTCCGGCCACATCGGATGCCGGATTCGGAGCATCCACTGTATATACTGTCCTAGCAGTGTCCATATCTTCTGGCCTTTCCCAACAGTTATGGTCTAGGACTGGATCCCCCACCTATAGCATCAAAATACCAAAAGAAGTAAATAAGTCAGTTATCATAAGTTATTGCTAGTAATGTCCCATTAATTCTCAACCTTTTCTATCCAAAGGAGGATAAGTTATTTTGGAATTAATTATTCTGTTATTATTTTTTATTTACTATTTGGTATGTATTAAAAATGACATTTGCATGATTTCTAAGAAGAATGTATAAGTTATCTCGACACTAATTATTCCACCCCTTACAAGGTATAAGTTATCTCGGTATTAATTTTAATCTCGAGATAACTTATACCAGGTTTGCTAACCAAACAAAGTATTAAGGTGGTATCAAATTTTTATACCAGTACTATATCTACTTATACCTCATACCAAACGGCCCCTAATAGTATAGAAGATATTACACTATCAAATCACTTATAAAAACTACTATTAATAATCTCTTATAAATAGTGGGAATCGCAACCTGATACTTGCGATAACAAATTAAAGTATATATATTGATAATGTCAATTTTTGTTATATTGAACTATACTATACATAAGTTAAATTCCATAAAAAATGGTATGAGATAGAGTACTTAGACACAATAAAGGACAAAGAATCTTAGCACAAAAGCGATATGCAACGTGACCTACTCTATAGGTAACAATTGTTTTTAGTTGGGCGTGTTATAAAACAAAGACTGTAAAGTAAAGACAAGTATAGAGTGAAACTGATATATTATTCGAACTCAAACTGATGTACATAATGAACTGAAATCTCTTCTATTTA